CCTGACTCAAATATGACAGTGTTGGTATAACCTTTACATTTGGTACTGTCACAGCAAAGTTATTTTGATGTTATGAAACCTCATATGATGCCAAGATCTGGTAGAACCACCAAACCTGGAGCAGTCTGCAGCCATTTATTTGAAGAAAAGTGTCTTGGGTCATAAGAAAGCAAAATCAAAATCAAAATAAAAACGGCTTTTGTGGAGGCATTGTGAATGCAAATCTCTCAATAATATTTAAATAGTTTGAGAATATGCTGCGTATGTCTAGAAAAGCTTCAAACACCAATTTTACAGGTATTTAAAAGTCACATTTTTTCATCAGAGTTTCACTATGCTCAGTGTGTTCCATACTGTGAAGGAAGATGGGGCAGGAAAAGAAAGCTCTGATGAAGTAATGAACAAGATTAAGAATACCTCCCCATTATGCATGAGCAACAGAAGAAATCTTGATCCCACAATGTGGAAGATGTACTGGGAACGGTGAAAAATTCTTAAAAAAGACAAATACCTATTTAAAAAAACCAGAAATACATGAAGGTTTCGTTTTTTTTTTCTTTTTCATTTTAGTATATTCTTTTAGTTTTATGTGGAATAACAGAAAATTAACTTCAGAAAAAACAACTAAAATTTTGGAGCCACCGGCTGATCTTTATTCACAGAGGTGAACAGATTTTCTAAAGGATGTGGGCCTGGCACCGGAAAGGACAATCGTCACGTGCCCACTGACCCTACCGGGAAGATACAAGAGGACTCGCTATAAAAAAGCAGAGGGCGTTACTGGGAACATCTCTCTTTGATAACCACAGTATCAAAAGAAGAAATCGGTTAACAAAGATAACGGAACAAAACCTCAACCCACAGGAGAAATTGAACTAGCCATGCGACAGCTAGCAAGGGGACAAATCCCAGCTATTCGTACTGACACCTGAGTGCCCGCATAAGCCCACAGAGCCTATTGCAGGAGGAGGAAAATTCATGGGCTTCTAAAACAAGGAAGACAAGCTGTTTGGGAGCATAGCAGAGAGGGAAGGTGTGAATTCAGAAGCATGGCTAAGAAACCCTTGCAGAAATAACCTGCACGTCACACAAAAAGTGCCTGCAGTAACAGGAAAATGAGAGAGAGCAGGTCCATCAAAGTGTGAAGCTAGAGGGGTCTGCATGCTAGTCTGAGCTGCAAACTCAAGCCCTGTACCGGCCCTGGCCGTCTCTGAAGTGTGTGGGCAGGATGGTAGATCAGGAGCTTGCTCTGGTGCCTTCAGACAGCCGATGCACACGCTGTGTCCAACAGCATTGCTGCGGAGTAGGTTAGTAACACTCTAAGCTGCACAGGTCCCCTGTGCTCTGGAGGCAGAGGGCTGGGGACCCCCTGGACATGCTCAACACTGCTTTCCCCCCCAAAAAAAGGGATCCTCTCAAGCTGCTGTAACACAAATGAAGTAAATCCATTTGGGACTTGCTCTGGAGAGGTATTTGGGCAAATGGAGAAAATAGTAACAGCCATGACAGAGAGCTGAACAGACTGATGCTCACGGTATATGCTACGGCCAAGTGACACACAAGATAAATTGTAGGGAGGGAAGGGAGCATTCAAAACCATCCTTAAAAAAAAAAAAAGACCTTAAAGTAGTGAAGGGAATCATGAAAGTAAATGTGCAACAGAAGAGGCAAAGAAACAGAAACTGGCATCTCTGTTTCGTGACAAGATTTGGCTTTTGTTTTGCTCTCACAGTTGCTACTACATAATTCATTGGTGGTTGAGGCAGGTTTTAGGACAGTGTCTACTGAATGAGCGTCAAGGAATAATTTATAACTTCTGAGGCTGCCACAGCCTGGCCTCACTATATTTTTTTAAGATGAGGCCGCAAAGAAAAAGTTTGCTGGACTTGGCAGGAAGTGATGCTCGGGAATACACGGCAACTTCCCGCCCTTCATAGTACAAATAACACATACTCAGCTGAATTCCAGCCCATTCAGGAGGAGGACTGCATACGTGAGTCCTATGTACTATGATGGTGTGCTACCCATAATGAGATCTCACAACAAGAGGACTAAAGGACCATTTATCACTCCTGATACTTATTAAAAAGATAAAGCTTATTCCTACATATAACTGTACTCTCTCTTAAACAGAAAACAAAGCTAGCTCTCCACACAGTCCTACCTATGCAGCCCAGTTGCGTCCCAGAGCAATGACTGGTAGGAGTAGAAGGCAATGCAGTCTGTCCTCTGTAACATGAACTCAAACTGTCAAAGCATCAGCCTTGATGAGATGTTTTCTGATGAAATTGGACCAAGAAACACCAAAAGCTTGATTCTGATCCTATTAAGTCACAATTTGGCCAATGGTAAAAACAGAGCAAGACAGGTTCAGCTTGTTTTATACACACTACTAAACAGCTATCAGGTGGAGATGGCTTGAGGTAAAAATCAACTACTCATGGGAGTCAAACTGCTAACATGAGATCTCCCACTCCTTGTCACGTCTCAAAGGTGATCAGTCTGTTTGGGTGTGAGTATACTGCTGTACCTGAACACCCATGGATTTTTAATTAATGGACCCAAGCAAGCTTTCTTAGTGACAGATTATGGCTTGAAATCGTATACAGTGTAAAACCCAGTGTGAGATTACATGGTCTTAATCCTTTCAATATAGTAGGTAAAGAAGGTAAAAAGTTGCAGATGACCTTTTGAAATGTTCTTATGTACAAAAGAAACAGCAAATCCCAAATCTTTGTGCGAGTTAAAGTATTGACGTCAATGGGACTCCCATAGGAAGTTTTGGGAGTTTGCCTTAGCAAGAACAGAACCACTAAATAGGTCAAAGTTTTGACTTAAAACAGGTCAGTATGTGAAAAGTCACAAAGGAAAGTCTGGGATAAAACAAAGGCCAAAGAAAATGCCCCTTCTATTAATTTTTACGAGCAGCATA